TGGGAGCAGCCAGAGGGATGGTGGCCGGGAAACCCCTTCCTCTGGACCAGGAGCAGTGGGATGGTGGCTCAGAAGCCCCTCCCTCTGGGCCAGGACCAGCGGGACAGAAGGTGGCCCAAAAGCCCTTTCCTCTGGGCTGAGAGCAGCAGGAGGGATGGTGACCGGGAAGCCTCTTCCCCTGGACCAGGAGCAGTGGGATGACGGCTCGGAAGCCCCTACCTCTGTGCCGGGAACAGTGGGACTCAGGACCATGGTCTGGTGGTCTGGTGTCCTCTGTGTCTTTGTAGTGTGGAATCAGGTGGCTGCCTGTCTGCAGCAGAGTGATTCGGTGTTTTCTGCACGACTCAGGACCTCGGTAGGGCATGCACAGACCTGCCTGTCTGCAGCAGGCTGATTCGGCATGTGCTCTGCGCGACTGGGGACCTCAGTAGGGTGTGGGCAGACCTGCCTGTTTGTAGCGGGGTGATTCGATGTCTTCCGTGCAACTCTGCCTTGCTTTTTGTAATATCCCTTACTGGATTATTTTAAAATGTATTATTTTAATGCTATAGGTAGTGTTTTGCAAATTTGCTGGGGAAAGTCGGTATATCCATATGTAAATTTGTCAGTAAATATATTCTCTCACAAATTGTTATTGAATTTAATAGTTCTGAAGTCTTATACAGATTTGGTATCCAGGGTTTTCTAATTATAAAGCATAATCTGTTTGATTATAAAAGTAAAATTTTACAGCAATAAGTGTATTAAAAAGCCAAATTGCTATTTGAAGTTCAATATTATTATAGAAATAACAGTTTTATGTTACCTTAAAACATATCTTATACAGACTCTATATATCCCTTGTTTTCTTTTGGATTGAAATAAAAAAATAAAGCAATCATCTAGAAATATTTCAACTAGGGGCGATTCATGCTCAAATTAAGAAAAAATTGATATTAATACAGAATATAAGGAATAAAGCAAACCCCAAAACACATGACTCTTACGCAAATTACACAGCTGAATGAGCCCCAAAGTTGCTTGCTCCGTGTGACACACTCATTCACTGTTAGTGGGTTCTTGTTTCAACAGCCAGGAAGGAATTGAGCCAGTTTGTAGGTGGGCACATTGGACTTTCAATTCGGGTAAAACTTCCACCTTTCTCTTGACATCTAAGTGATCTTTGCTATGAAATGAGGACATTTAGCCATTTCCACACTAATGACTGCATTTGGAACACACAGTTAGGGGCCCAGACCCATTTCTTCCTTCTCTGCCGCTCAGTCTTTATTTCACTGGGGCAGGACGTTCCTATCCACAGGAGCAGAATAGCCACATTGTCAGTCCCCTGTGCAATGCCTCGGACTCTGCCTGTGATTGTCCAGGACATGAGCATGTGGCCCAGTGGGAGTCAATGAGACACGATGGGAGGTCTGATGTGGGCTTCTAGGAAGGATTTTTTATTTTCTATGAAGGAAAGGCATCTATGGGAAGCAGTGTTTTTGCACCCATTCTTTTACTCCTTCCCTTAAAACATAATGTCAGTCACCCTGGAGCCATAAGGCTGTCTATGTGTCTGGGAAAGAAGGAAAACAGGAGGAAACTGGAGGTTGAGGAAGAGAAACTGGAGGTCCCCAGGGAGATTAGGGGATAAAACACGAGAGGAGATAAAACACCAAAGGACACATCGAGGATAAAATAAGGGGCCGAGAGAGAAGAGTGGGCAGGAATGGGGGAGGACACAGGCAGAGACCAGGCTGGGTAGAGGAAGATGCTGACAGTCTTAAAGTCCTGCTTTCCCATGGTCCTTTCGGTGTGACAGTTGACCCATATGGAAAGATTGAAAGAAGTAAATTCTTAGTTCATCTGGAACTCAGTCCACTCCGGCCACTGGATGTGAAGTGCTCTGTTCGAATGACTTTCTTTTCCTTCTAGCAGAGCTATGCCCAAGACCATTAAAAATTTTGAAGAATTGGTCATTTATAGACAAAGAAAAATATTAAAATGGTACGAGTGTTGGGTAAACAAAAATGACTTAAAAAGATCTAAAAGTGAACAAAATAAACTGAGAAATTCCCATGTGAAATGCTGGCATTTTTGTTATAAGAATGCATTTTGAAAGATTAATAGTGAAGTTCAGCATCTTTTGATTTTTTTATTGACTTTTGAAGTGTTTCTACACATGAAATGCCTATTTGTGTATTTGGCTCATTTTTCTATTGGTTTGTTTGTCTTTTTATTTGTTTGAGTTTATGTATTATCAATACGAATCTTTTGCCTGTGATATATATGTTTCAAATGTTTTCTTGCAATTTCTTCCTTGGCATTTAAGCCTTTAATCCATTTGAAATTTGTCGCAGAGTCTTGTAGAAGACTGGAATTTAATAGGATTTTTATATTTAGAAGCCCAATTTCATGACACCTTTTGCACTTTTATTGTGCACTTTGAAGTCCTTCTCAACTCATGAGTCTCCAACCAGTATAAAGCTGGATAGCACTACTAGCATTCATTCATTCATTCAATCATGTATTCATCCACATCATCTTGTTTGTCAAACTGGTTATTAGCAGCTGTGAGAAAAACCCCAGGCTCCTGGATGTCACTTTTGTCTCCTTCACAGGTTGTTCTACAGAGCAGTGTCCGCTGTGTCCTCCTGTTTTACACAGTGTACTACGTGTCTCTGAGCTTGTGCAGCCTGACACTCAAGTCAGTAGTGTGTTGCCTTCAAATAGAATTAGAAGCTTAACACTGAATATGAAAAGAGTTTCTACTTAATACTGACATGTCTCAGGATTAGAGAAGCAGGTTTTTCTAGTGAATTAAAAAAAAAAACTTTTGTTGTCGAAGTAAAAATAAAATTTCTCCACCTTTGAAAATGATAAAAGTAACTGTCATGAAATGACAGGGCTAGAGCCAGGCAGCCTGTTCTTACCTCTGTGGAGGACAATCATGGGAAGAAAGCAAGACTGTTGCTCCCTGGGTTGGTTTTGAATTAGAGGAAATTTGGATGAGAATATGCTTGAGGTAATCTACAGCCAATTTAAATGTTTTTAATATCTACTGGGAGCAGCTTTGGGCTGCAGGTCAGGAGACCAGCACTGCAGTCCAGATGCTGATTAATTTCCTGACTCATCTTGACCAAGCCATGCAGCTTCTTTTATTTCAGTGTCATTTGTCAAATGAAGGAAATAATCCAGAAAGGGTTATCACGAGGGCAAAATGAAATTAGCACATTGTTTTCAATGGTCTCATTTCTATGTAAGCATGAGACATTATTTTTTTCAGGTAATATTTTGTCTTGTTATGCTTGAAATTTTTCCCTACAAATGCAGATGGACAAGATGTTGATTGCCTTGAAATAAATTATATATGTTTACACAAAATTTCCTACAAATTGAGTATTCGTGCAAGTTGATTTCATTTTGTAAGCAAAGAATTCCATTTTAATATGCAAATTAATACCAAAAGGTAATGATACAGACTTTTGCAATGGAAAGAATGTCCAGCATGCCTTCGGGCAAACCCACTGAGGAAGCCTCCAGAGCTCACAGTCTGAGCTGACGCATGAGCTGGAAATGGCGAGAGTGGTCTAGAGCCAAGCACAAGGCCGGCCCTGAGCTTGGGATTGAAGAGTTTGTAGATCACATGAGTCAGTGGTAAGGAACTTGAAGTAATTGTTCCTTAAAGCTCCTGGTGGGAGCTAGCTGGGGGACCAGCTGCACACAATTACCAACTCAGGCATCGTAGAGAGACTAGCTATATGCTTTACAGACTCAGATTTTAGAACAGGAAAGGATCTCAGCAATTAAATGAAGAGTTTCTTCAATTTACAGTTAAGCAGAAGTCCTGAAAGGTTAAGTGATTTGTCGAAATTCACTGGTAACACTGCCTGGATGAGAACCCACATCTTGTTACTTCCAAACTCATGCTTTCTCCATATTTAATGTTCCCCTCACAGACTGGATGGAAGGAGCTACTGGGATTATAGCTGAAACCTCAGATACAATCGAAGCCATTTTGTGGACAAAGTGAATTTAACTGACAAAGAAGACAGTGTAGACAAGAAATTATTTGGTGGCCATCTGAGTCAGCCAGGTCTTAAATGCATCCAACATGGGTAAATCTAATGACTTCTCTGAATAGTGTTGTGCAGTTGAACTGTCTCCTTCAGAGTACATTTTTTTTAACAGAGTACATTTTGTAACACCTCAGGGTGTATGAGTTGGATGTCCCGGCATCATTTGATTTCAAAACAAACCCCTCATAGCTGGATACAAATTATAAAGGTAATTTTAAAATTTTTAATCCTTATCAATGAGTGAAGCATGTGCCTCCAGGAATCAAAATCTTAAAAGAAAAATACAATTCCAAAAAAATCATGGCTTCCTTGCAATCATCTGTATATTATATCTGACTTCAAAAACTAATTAGAAAAAGTATCATCAAAAATTTCAAAGTAAGCAATCCTAGGAGATGGAGTAGGATGGCCTTAGTGGAGGAAGGGTGTTAGAATCTCATATGAATTTCCATTTCATAGTACTGAATTTTTGAGCAATAGATAATTTTAAAGAAAGGGAAGAAGAATGACAATGTTGTAATGCAGAAAAATGTTCATGACACGTGAGACAGAAAATGAACACTACAGAGGAGTTCGTTTTATTTTTAAAGAATAGAGTAAAATTCATGGTTTCAGTAGTAAGAAGTCTGGAAAATTATGCAACAAACTGTTATCTCCCATCTGGGTTGACAGAGAACTTTCATTTTCTATTCTGTATATCTTTGTTTCAATTGTATTTTCCTTCCCAAAATAGTATAGAATTTATTGCAGTGGAAATGTCCTAGAGCAGAGTAGGATAACAAGGTTGACAACAATTAATTGAATATTTCACATAGCTAGGAAAGAGGATTCAGAATGTTCACAACACAAAGAGATGATGATATCTGAGGTGATAGATGTGTTAGTCATCATGAACTGATCATTACACACCATATACAGGTACTGAAATACCACACTGTACCCCACAATATGTAGTTACTGTGTGTCATTTAAAATGAAAAATAAATAAATAAAAGCAATTCATTGCAGAAGAGAAACAATAGGAAAGAATATACTAGAACAAAATCTGTCTTTTCAATTTTGCATTTCTGTTGAATAAATAATGAATACTTTGTATGTGTATAAGCCTGTACGTCAGTACAAATGCCTATTTGAATATATGTCAAGCATATTTGTTTTGGGGTGTTTATGGTGAGTTTCCCCCATCTTCAGAAGAGCAAAATTTTAATGTCACTTTCCATCATAAAAAATACACATTAACTGATGAAATTTCAGACAATAAAAACAAGTACAAAAAAAGAAAAAATCATAAATTTACTTTTTGCATGTAAGTATTCTTAATATTCTGTTCAATTTCTCCCAGTTTTTAAATATGTACTCTCAATTCTTTAAACATTAAAATTTACTAAAAAAAATAGGATAATCTTTTGTGAGGCAAAATATGCAAATATGCATAATTTCCTGAGGACAAAGAAACCAGATTTCAAATATGATTTGTATAGAACACTTGGTCAGCTAAAATTACTGAATTCAACTAAAAAACCTTAAAACATCCTCCTCCAGTGCATGACCTTGTTTGGTGCCTTTATTGATTCAATTTTGGACAGCAAAGAATATATGAGAACAAGAAATGTTTATTGTAACAAGATACAAGAGGTCTAATGTTTTAGCTGCACTTTCTCTTCATGTATTTCTTTACTGAAGATGGAATTGGTTTTTTATTGTTACATATCTCCACAAAAGATAACAAGATAGTCACAGGAAAGAGTCAAGATTAGGCCATGTATGTGTTTTGGGTAGGGAGGGAGATTTCAAGCTGAACTGTCATTTAATTCTTGCCTTGTAGTCAGTCACTGAAGAGAGGAACAGGTGACAGGCTCATTGGAGAAGGTTATATACACATACCAGGGATTAGTGAAGACCCCCAGGATGGCTGGCTCAGTTTACATCTCTTTTTTCTGTTATGAAACATGAACATTTGTACAAAGATATCAATAAGCTCTTAGCCTATGAAATCTTTAATTTTGGGTTTAGGGAGATAAGTGTCATAATTCCAGGGTGGTTCCTTTGAGAATCCAGTCTTGTTTAATCTTGGAAATAAAACCTGAGAGTCATCTCCGAGCCCTGGGCTTCGATTTGGGATCAGGTTTCATGTCTATTTCAAGAAAGTTTTCACTGAGGAGATTGGTATGAGCAAGCACACTGGAACATATATGTTCAGGTAAACCATTTTGATTACAGTATCTCTCCTTTGTGTTGCACAGAATAGCTTACAAATTCCTTTCATTTTAAACTGAAAACCTCCCAACATTTTTCTGAGGTAGATAAGATAGCACTCTGTTTCCAGTTTATCCAGAGGTTAAAATCCTTCTCAGTGAACAAATTAAACTCTTAAACTGTAAATGATAGACTAGAATTTTACTGGCCTGACTTCCAGTTGTGCACTATTTCCTTTAAATAGTGCTTTCTTTCATGTTATAGACAAAGTCTAGGTATTCTCTTTCACTACAGGCAAATATCACTTGTGCAAAACTAACATCACTATCTCCAAGCAGCTGCAAGGTAACCTACAAACTCTCTAAATGCTGACAAAAGAGGCATCTCTATTTTCCTGTAACCCTATGGAGCCTGTGTGAGCCATGTTTGGAGGAAAGAATGATGTTTCACAGGAATAGTAATGTTAATAGGACAGGACAGCTTTGATTTTGGGGAGCAGGACATGCTAAATTGATCTGTATTAGTCAAAGAAATTTCCATCCAATAGAAAAGGAGTTATAATGAATTCTCCATTTAACTGTTGGAAACTGTTGAGTTAAAATAAATAGAACCAAAGAGGGACAAATGTGATACCTTTAAAAATGTAATGCTTAGGCTTGCTTGCTTTATGTCTTACTTATCCATGAGACAGCCCCTGGCCTGCTGGTTAATAAATTATTTCTGCACAATAGGAAATAGGTAATTATTTCATTTGCCAGTTTGAAAAAGATACAGAATTTACATAGCTAGATTTACTGGCTCCTGAATGATATGAACATACCAATAATTTGCTGTGTTTTAAAAGGCAAGAAAGGTAGTTTTTATGGAAAGTTGTATTATTTACCAAGGGTCTTTGGTGGTATATCACATGCATGTGTCACTTTAAAGTTGGATCAATCTCTTCTTTGAAACTACTCTAGACTTAAAGGGCCATATAAAGGACAAGAGGCAAAACATTGAACCTTCTTGTCTTCCAGTCTCTTAGAGATTTGTGGTCCTGGTATGTGAATAAATACCTATTTTTTCATATTCAGGGAAGCCGTTGTGAGACAACCAGTGAAAGTAGAAGTGTTTCCATCCACAGCTGTCCTTTAAGGGGCCTTCTTTCACCCAGGGCGGTTAGTTATGTTTCCCAGTTGACTACCTAAACATACCAAATAATTACAAAAACACAAAGGACCTCCTTTCCAAGACAGGTCCTGTTTGGTATCAAAGAAATGTCACAGTTCAATAAACTCTTTTCTCTCATTTCTAAAAACTAAGAACTGAATTCTTCCACTAATCTCATTAATTTTTAAAATAAGATTTCCAATCCAATAACATATTTGCACATAAAGTATATTTTGTAACTTTTCTTTATTGCATTTTACCTGCTAAAATGCTAAATACAAAGAATATGAAAGAAAAATTGTATGTTGTTAGTCATATTTCTATAAAGCTAAGGAAGGTTAAAAGAATATAGTAAAATTTCTTATCCATATATGAGGGTTGGGTAAGATACAGACCATTTAAAAAAAAATCCTTATCTAAATTCTTTGCTGGGTTAAGTTTTCATGGTCTTGTCGCTAGCTGTATTTCAGAATCGTTCATTGTTCTAGTCTCAAGTAATTATATTCTTGATTTTTACTTGCAGTTCTTTGTTTTTGTGGGTTGTTTTTTGCTCTGGTTGTAGAAGAATGTGTTTGGGATTATGCTATTTCTGTAACTATTCTTCATGTTGTCATCACTTCTACAAGTAAGCAAATAAAATAGCAGAAACAAAGAAATGTATTAAATTTGACATGGTATCGAGCTGATGTCCTAGGAGTAAATGCTGCCCTATGCCTCCCCCATGATGATGAAGTTCTCTCCTCCTTCCTTCCTCCTCCCAAGCCACATTCTCCTGCCGCTCCTTGTGGTCGGGTTTAGACAGCTCCATCTCTGAGTCAGGGCTGTACGGAAATGTAGGCATTTCTGGTCCACTTTTCACATTCAACTTGCCATCCACTTGCATGGAGTTTGTCTCCGGGAGGAGTATTTCCCTTCAAAGTCCTTTCGTGAGGTAGAAAGTGATCTAAACGTGGGTTGTGAGGAAACCTAGAGTATTTGCAAACCTGTGAACTTCCCCACAATCCTTATTTTTAACAGGGATACCAGCTCTAAGATGTTTTTATCTTCACCTATCATCTCTGGAGGTAGAAGGAAATGCATTCAAATTTCTGCCTTTTCCTAGGAGTGTAGTCTTGGCCAAGTCATGTTTTACTCCAGTTTCCTCTGCTACAAAAGTTTAGACCTGGTAAATTTACCTGGTAAAATTTCACTGAGATCATGAGAAATTCTGTGAAACAGAATCTATCATAAAACAGTTTCTTGGTGCTGCAGAGTTTCATCCACCCACTCATTCATCCATTCAAAATTTACTCTTCCCTCTGCCTTTTCCCTCCCTCATGACCCTCCATTAGTTTTTAAAAATCATACAAGAGTGGACGATTGCAAACACATGTTATAATTCAATGCTTATTTTTATTACCAAAATTTAAATGACTCTTGATATTTTAGTGTCCTGATCTATTAATAGTATAATCTATCTGCAATTTAAGAGCAGTGCTGTTAGAGAATGCCAGTGCATCAGTTTCCTCAGATACAAAGTAACTCAGAGGATCTTGGGTCCCCTCCACCTGCTCAGATTCTCTATTTCACTCTAGGGCTCAAGCTTTCCAGGAAGACAGACAATATCTGTAAAAGGATCTGAGTTTGCAAAGTGGTCCCATACTCAAGATGGCAATAAGCCATAGGTTCTGGACTCAGGAATGTTCTTAACTCGTTGTCTGACATGTGGCATGTAGAAAATGCTGAACAAATGACTGCTTGTTAGAAGTGATTCCAGAGTGAAGTGGTCCAGAGTTCTAGAGACAGCCAGGGCTCAGGAGGCTCATAGAACCATCCCCACTGCACGTGACTCAGATCAACAATGTTGTGAGCTCCCTGAGGACCTGACAGTTCAGAACATCATGTCTAAGGGGAGGAGTTCCAAATGTTTACCCTTACAAACAGCCTTTAGACCACGACTTAGATAGAAAATGGGGGTTACCAGATTTCATGAATGGGGATGCAATTTTGCTTTGTTCTACTGATATGATTCGACCAAACAAATACAAATATTTCTTCATGAGTAAAAAGATAATGTATACTTAAACACTACCTTTTGTATTCTATTGCAGTTATGTTGGAGTTCCCCTCAGCATCACATTGGTGGGCTGCCTTAGATATGTTGGAATTGCTCTAGTTTAGATTCTCTGATGCACAGCAATAATTTCAAGTAGAATACATTTTGGAAAACAGTTTTATTATCTTAGACATGGATTTTATTATATTATTCTCTTTCTAAGAGGTTCAGGATGGTCACGTCCTCTTTCTAAGAGAATAATAACAATGACACCCAAGTGATCATGTACACAGAGGTGCCTCCGATGTTCCACTGTACCCATGAGCCAACAGGGTAGACTCAGAAGCAGCACAAGATGGAGGTATATGCAAGACCTGATGTCAAGACCTGTGCAGCCCTCCATGTCCTTCTCTGACATCTCCTTGTCCCTTCTTAGAGCATCATGCCTGACATAGCCCTTCACATCTTATCACCTGGCCTTCATTTTTTCTTCTGCCCCAAGACGCAAGTTCTTCTTAGATACAACTCATCAAAATAAATCCTCTTGGAACACTTAAGGATCCCCCAAAAGGTTGAATTTTTAGTGAGACCAAAAGGCTAAAAACCTGATGTATATTTCACTGGGGGAACGGTGTTTTACAGGATGATTCAAGCAAAATAGTCAGATCTCAAGATGTTGCTCCAGAAAGACAAAATGAGGATGAAGAAAGTGAGAACAGCCACAAAATGGCGGCACACTGAAATCAGGAAAATGTGGGCAAAGCTTGTGTGTAACAAACGAAGAATTTAAGAGTATTCTGAAGTAAATTAGCCTCTGCCTTTCCCCTTATTAACAAAATGGGCCTAAAACTGTAGTCTGGAGCTGGGTTTCCCTTGCATGCAGGGCATGAGGACCTTGCGAAAATGGCGTCAGTCTGGGTGGGGCTCAGCTGGATTGTGGCCTTGCTCTTTCATGGACCATCCTTTGAGAAGCAATGACAGACAACATGCTGAGCCTTTTAAACTATGTGCAATACCTCCCTAGAAACAAAGCCATTAAGTTTTATTACTTAACACCATTTTCAAGTTCTTAAAATTGAGAAGTTCTTCAAGTCATCGAAATTTAATCTCCGTTGTTGTTTTCTAAGGCCATCATTTCCTACAAGTGGCCATCCACTTTAGCTCGCTGTTAAACAATTCAGTCTAAAAATTATGTTTTCCTTATTTCCTATTTTATGAAATAGGGAAATCAAGATATGAAATAGCAAATATACAGGAAATTAGATTGTTACAATGTCTTTTCTTTTTTTTTTTGTACTGGAGATTAAACCCAGAACCTTTGCCCTTGTGTTTTAGTTTGAAACGTGGTCTTGCTAAGTTGCTAAATTGCCCAATCTGGGCTTGAACTTGCCTCCTGCCTCAGACCCTCAGCTGGGTTTACAGGCATGCGCCACCATACCCAGTTTACAATATCACTTGAAAAAATTGTTCTTCCTTGATCATATTATGAAATAATTAGGAGCATAGGAAGAAAAGCAGCATCACAACATTAACATTTATTTGTGCTAATAAACAGTCTCATAAAGCAAACCTGGATGCTTCCAAACAGGCTCCAGTGTGTGTCAAGTATGGAAACTACCTCTAAATCTGCTGCACTTGGTTTCCAAATATAAAGATTATGTAATATTTTGAAAAACATCACAGTAATCTTGTCTAAAACCTTCAGTCTGTTTCGAAAACAGCAAGCAAGCCCAAAGGAGTTCTAGTGTTGCCACTCCATACCCATACAATACTAATACTCATTTATTGATTGTTTAGTATGGGCCAGGAACATTGCATTTATCTCACTAACCTTACTGCAATTCTGTGAGATAAATGTTATATTCTAGTTTTGCAAATGTGGAAACTGACATGTACAGAACTGGATAATTTAGTAGAGTTCCTGCAGTCACTAAAGTGGGTCTCCTCCCCAGCTTTTCCTTCTGCCATGGATTGCCACCCTATGTACAAATCCTAACGGTATGACAGCAAAGATATGGTGATTGCTGCCGTGGAGTCCAGGGAATCTCAGTTAGAGAAGACACAAAGTAACAATGTATAGAGCTTATAGAAATCTACAGATGCCCACTATGCAGGCAGTGAAAAGAGCACAAAGAAACGGAAAATAACAGAGAAGATTAATTAGACTCACAAGCCCAGATAGGACGTCCCTGTTGCTTTTCAGTTCTACGACTGGTTTTCCCTATCCAACGAAGCATATTTAAGAAAAACCATGACTTAGGAAAACACACACAGAGCAAAAAAAAACAAAAACAAAAACAAAGTATTTGTTTCTACACTCAATTGCTTATACTTTTGAAAAGAAAATTATAGGATGTTGTAAATTTCAAGTATTTTAAATGAATTTTAAAGTTTAAATGTTCATAATAAAATATTCAGCGCCCAGCACAGTGACTGGCACATACTAGATTGTCAGCAAGTATTAGCTGGGTTAGTGTAGGGAGAATTAAATGAGATGAAATGAAGTAGCAGAGATTTTCCTGGCATGCAGTAAGTCTATTTGGGTTCTTGACAGACAACTCCAGTGGAGGCTGTTTAATCATCACCCTGGGAGGGCTGAGGAAGTAAATAGATAATTACCTGCTGTATGTCTTTTTTATGATAAATATTATATATTTGAACACATTATTGGAGTTCATACATGATATTATGCCATATATTACTTTTTATATACAAATACATATTTGAACACATTGGAGCATAGAATATGATTTGTAATTGGAGAACATTACATGACATATTTTATTTATATTATTTATTATGATATATAATATGTATACGTGGTATACTAC